TGCTGTGCAACGGACATCCGAACATGACAAACTCAGTCAAGCTAACGTATATCGAGAGGGAGATATGGGCAAAACACACATGCCGATCTCCACTCCTAGAACTTACAATAGCTTATACCACCATTGAAGTAAAGGTCCTTTCCGTGTGGTTTGGAACCTACGATTGCGTGCTCAGTTCATAATTGTCCACCACAATAAGACACGCCCCTGCATAGGTACGCAGCACTACCCCAGTTACACAAGAGGATGGAAGATGAAAAAACTCGACTTGACAAAAAGGGAAAGGGCGAATCCCAAGGCTAGCACAGAGTTCGGTGCTGCTGAGAGAAGGGGAGCCGCGTGATGCGCACCAGTTACTTTACTGCATCCTTTGGGTTGGCGGACTCCACGAGTGCGGACAAAGCCTAGACGCTCACTCCATTTCTGCTGTGCTGCCTTCCCTTTGTGCGCACAATACCGAACAAAGCTCATCAAGAATCTCCTACCTTATGCACGCGATCTGTCAGAAAGGGAGAAGAATAGAAAACCGTAAGCGCCGCAATATTAGTTATGTATTTCGAGCCTTTTGACCCAGGACATTCAGTCTAAACTGATTCCACGATAGCCGTGTGTCAAAGAAGTTAAACCATGAGGGCATGCGTGCAGGTGATTTGTGCACAGCACAATCGTGTTCCTATCAATGTAATGGTAGTTTCAATTTCGGCCTTTAATGTGAGCACATTGCTACGGCTTTCTGTAGGAATCTAATGTTGTGTTTTATTGGACTTTTTCCTTTGGTGCTTTCTTTAATTTAGTGGCGAAGTTGTCAAGTTATGTTTATGAGATCTCTTTTTTGTTGAAAGAGGTCTTTGCTTCTCTTTAAGCATTTTTTTCTTTTTGGACCGGACTTTCTTTTGCATTTCATTTATATATTTACACCTTTACTTGGCATTTATGATACAGGGTTATTAGGGTTTTTAACTATTCCCTCGCTATCTTTGAAGTTTATTTACCTTATGTTGTTATTAATTGTGCAACATTGTAAGGTTCTGCTTTATTTTAAATTTTAAGGCTGGTTTGATTTTGATTTTATGTTGCAATTATTGATAATTCATGTCAGCATAATTTAACAGGCTGTAAATGCATTTGTGTACTAGATTTTTAGAATCATTTGCAGTCTGATAGGATTTTTTTAGGCTTTTACTGAGGAAAATTGTGAGAAGTGGTGTCATGTCAACTTTACTGCTGACATCGAATCCGTTTGTGGGACATTATTTCTTCTTTCCCCTGTAAGTGCCCTCTGGTTTGTTGTCATGTTTTGTGTATGTAGGCGTCGGAGAATACAATGATTCAGTGGATTGCGGACAGTGATAGTTTGCCAGAGCGTCAGGCGTCGCCAAAGATTTCCCTCCGTAGTATCGGTCAAGTGGAACGTCGGCGTTCTTTATTCAGTCCTCATTGTAGCTCCATATACATTCGTACTAGTCACAATGAAATTTTCGGTCCTTTTGAGTTTACTCGGGGTGGTTCGACTGATTTTATAGAAAAACTTCGCCGATATGTTGACCTTCTTCAGTAAGTTATTTTGCACAGCATTGCTAGTTTTTTACGTTGTCTTGAGGGCTTTGTTTTGTTGTCTTTATTTGAAATCCTTTTTGGAAGAACATTGACATTGTTAGTATGCTAAAAGTATTTGTACTTTTTTAGATGATGGTATTAATATTAATATTGACAGGTTTAGTGTTTCTGCTCGCTGGTCGGGTAATGCATAGGTTTTTCATATTTAGGATATCGTCAGATCCTGAAGTATACAAAGCTACTCGCAAGACAACAACTTACCAGCTACCAACGACAGAGTGAGATTTTTTGCATTTTTGACCTGCCGTGGGAGTAGAATTTATCTTTAACCTGGCTTTAGGACCAAAACTTATGGGTTTCCTAGCTTCTCCAGTTCTCCTATATCTGTGTTTCATGGCTTGGGCACACGAATAATGGGTGCCTTCGGGGGTCTACGAGCGCCGAATGGCGCAGGGGTTTACGATGGTACTTCTTGGCATCGCTCTCCCAACACCGAGGAATCTCCCGAATCTGACTTAGTTGTACAGCGCATCATGATGAACCACATCTGTGCTGACCGACTGCGCCTCAATGAGCCCTCCGAGTATCAACTCATCTCACATGCTCCCCTCCCTATCAGAATCCCAGATCTCAAACCAGTACCACGCAGGCGTCCAGTTTCTCTGGAAATGTGGCAGCGCTACCTCGATCGTGACGGTCGTGTAACTATGGCGGAGAAACTACAGACATTCATCTATAATGGGGTAGATGCATTTCTATCTTCTTACACACAGTACACACTATTGGGTCCTCTTCTTCTTGTTTACGTTTGATCAATTACCTTTAAAATTCGTACTAGTTAAAAGCATTCTTGCAAAACGTACGCGTGAATTTAATTCGCATTTCTTATTTGTATGGTGTTTAATGCTCCTACATTTTAACAACTAGTTACTTGTGCTAAAATAATTTCTTTATTTATTACTTATGTTTTTATTATTCGATTGTGTGGGTGTTCACTAAATGTTTGGAAATGTTCCCAGGTGGCGTGATTCTCTTGGTGGGAAGGATACCCATTTGGACTTACCCACCACTTAGAGGTTTCAAATAAACAAGCATTGATTCATTTACCTAATGCTCTCCGAAATTGGTTTAGGGGATTGAACCGGATCTCAGGCCCCTTGCATGGAAGTATCTTTTTGGATATCTAAAATGGGATTTCACAAAGGAGGAAAATGCTAAGAGAGTTCAGGATAAGCAGTAAGCCAACAACTTTTCATGTTAAGGGTGGTTGGCACCCCTTCTCATTATTTACCTCTGCACTTTACTGTTGCCACTCCCCAAACCATAACATTACAAAGGAATGTTCCCTTGTAAAATGGCACTTTTTTCTGTTCTCCAGCCAACACTATCAAATCATGAAGACATTTTGGCGATCCATGTCTCCAAAGCAAGTAAAAAATTCCCGTGTCTTTAGAGAACGTAGGAGCATTATAGGTTCGTCTGCTCATATCCAAACCCTGTGCATACATTTTTGCCACAAACTCATCTGGTTGGTACATGCGGTTTTTAGACAAGGATACCTCTCGGACAGACCGGCAAACGGATCTCTTTAGAGACAATTCGGCTGGAGCTCTCACTCGTCTTTACAACATACTCATGACCTACACCTTCTATAACCCTGATCTGGGTGAGCGGATACAATTATTGTCTACTTTTCACTATCTCCATGTGCCTATTTTGTTCACCTCGCCAGCTTACGTGTAGAAAGCTCTGATTTGAAAACACGAACCTATGTCTAGAAATATCACTATTTAACCTTTACCACCTCTGAATTCAAATTACAATCTGGCGTTTTTTTTATCTTGAGAGTTCGAGGCTTTTGTCTTTGTCGCTTATTTGCATGAGAATTAGACCAAGGAGAGCATAATAAACTTACTGATTGCACTCAATCGTCTTGAAATCAGCGTTTATTCACGTACTTTAAAAAGTTTGCCTCTTTTGAACCTAACCTTCAGGGTATTGTCAAGGAATGAACGACTTGTTGGCGGTTATAATGTCTGTCATTGATAGCGAGGAGGACGCCTTTTGGTGCTTTGCTGGACTTCTCGATCGTGTTGTACGTTCGGTTTTGTCTGCTTAATTTACATGCTTATAACTCATATTTTCGGTGATGCGTTTGGGGAACATTTAGTAATTACCTTAACTAACGCAACAGTTTATGTGTTCAGTTTGCCTTCGCCAGTTACGGCTTTCCGCGTTGTTTAGATTTTTTCAAAGGACCAAAAGGCGGGGTGTTTGCTGCAAAGGCCATTGATTCAACACGCTCAACTAGTTTGACCCCTGGTGCTATTTAAATGACTCAGGTTGACAGAGCTGGATTCTTATGTATTTTAAAATATAGCTCCTTTAATTTTGCTAGCTACTGCTCTTGTGGTTGACTCCTTGGGAATAATTACTTATCCACATTTTTATCCATATGCTGGTACTTCACTCGTGCCTGTGTCTAACTTCGATGCAATTTCGAGCTGCATGCAGGTTCATGGTCTTATGCCATTCATTACTGATAGTAGCTAACTCGAAGTGCTTTTATTTTCACATTAAGGCGTCACTTTGTTTCCGATGGAGATGAGAGCAAATTTTTTAAAAAGTACTTTTACTCCTATCTTTGTGGTGTTGATAATGCCAGTTTCTTCTACACCAACCTGGTCCAGTTTGCCCATTCTCATAATTAATTAATTAATTGTGAATGTACTAAGTTGCAAATAATATTTCCGAACTACATTTTGAGTAATCAGACGGCTGATTGCTTTCTTTCAACAGTCTGGTCATTTTTCCAATGATTCATCAAGTCTGTCCAGTCAGTTCATTGGCCTCTTCAAACTAATCGAAATCCTTATGCCCACTTTTGCGCAGTTCTTGCGTAAGTTTATCCCACTTTCTCCATCTTTGATAATTATATCAGATCACTAACTTAATCGCATGTGATTCTCGCTCAACGCCATTAATCTTGTAGGTGAAAAGGAGGCAACGTCGATGAGCTTCTGCTTTAGGTGGTTCCTCATCATCTTTAAGCGCGAATTCTCCTACGATGATGTCAAAATCTTATGGGAGGTCGGTTATTTTCTCAGTCTTTCTCGTTCTTGGTAGTTATGGCTTTGGGCTATTCTTGTTAATGCCAATAATTTTGTTTTCGTATTCACTTTGCATCACTAGTAATATCATTCACAAAAGATTGAGCCCAGCTTAGAACCTTTTTGAATAAAAACAGAGGGTCTGGGCGATGACCTTTTCGCATAGTAAAAGAATATATTTATCTTCGTGCAGACACTTTTCAGTGGTGCAGCTCCAAAGAACTTCAAACTGCTTATCGCAGTCGCCATTTTTGACTCCGAGGCTGACACTATAATTCGGAACTGCTCAGACATCAGCCAAATTCTTCAGGTACTTCCTTCCTGCTTATTAGCACTAATTCAGTGCAAAGTACAAAGCTCATTTGAATTCTAAGCTTCACATAATTTCATTGCATTTGTCTCACTAGGGCTGTTGTCAGCTGAAGGGATAGATGCAGGAGTACTGCTGCGTTATGGTATCATGATCGTACTTCACTTTGTCCTCCCTCCACCCTTCCTCTTCTTTAGCACATCCATGGACTAAGTGAGCGAATAAACCTCCAGAACGTATTGAGTCGCGCCCAGGGCATCTATCATCAGTTGTTGGAGGTGAAGGATCGTTTGCCTAATGAAGTCGCTGTATGTCTTGGTTTTGCACCGCCTGCCGATACCAGTGCAGACGTTGCTGTCTCTACCCCGAGTGATGCTTGTCTTAACAAAGAGGAGGAGTTCCCCCCTGTGACAGAAGCCTGTGAATTTGGTCTCGAATTCACTACCGCTTCTCCCTCTTCCTCATCTTTCCACTCTGATCTGGAGGTGGGGGGGGACATCGTTATGTCGGGGCGATGTGTAGTCAACTCGACTACAACAGAGGGTAGTGACAGTCTCGCATAGGTCTACGATTTCTACCCTCTGAGATATATGCTTTTGTGTACATAAATGTAGACTAAATCATCAACTTTTTTCGTCCTCCTCTTGACTCGCTGACCTTTTCTCACAATCATTGATTTTATGAAATCTTGATTTTGCCCAAGGTCTGTCCTCATTCGCCAGCACTATGGTGGTTGTAAGGGTGCTCATTAATTGTGGATGTAAGACATGATCGTATGAATGCTCAATTACCCAAGCTTATTCAGTAGGAGCTATTTATTCGAATGGTAAGTAGATAAGGGAGAGTGTGCGACATAATTTCCTTTTTCAATGGCAGAACCTCTTGGGCGAAATGTAGTAGGAATGGCTTGGGCGTTTCAGTTTGAGTCAGCCAATTGAATGACGGGAATTTGGCTTTATCAGTGTAAGTGCTTACACAAACCGTCTGGTGGTAAAGCTTCACGTGCAAGAGTCTCGCTTTGAATATGGCATTGTAACAGCCAACACCCCGTGAACAGCATTTGAGAGTTTATTCTCATTAGTAAATGGTTGAACAAACGAATTTTTGGAGTATCTTATGCTCCGAAAAGATCGAAGAATTGAAACTGGTGATCCTGAAAAGAAGGATGGGGTATCGGGCAACCTGTCTTCAGTAAAGGAGAAACAGCCTGCTTTGGGAACCATTGAACCCGGAGATGGGAAAAAACTACAATAATAGTCCTGATTGTCATTAACTTGAGCGTTTTGCTTCACGTTTAATCTCGATCTTTTCACCCACTTTCAAGCATCGTTTTCAAAACAAATAAATAAGTTACCTCAATGGTAAATTAACGAGGAATCTCACTATGTGATTACCGTTGGAATATAAAATGTGGTATATATAATATTGCGACAACAGCAATCACGGCGACTGAATGGGAGTGACGTTATCACTTGCCATGGCAGTCACCTAACGTTGATACTGCGATAGTTTACTGTCACGTCGCCTTTAGACGAGGCATAGTGCGAATTCCAATAAGCTGTGGTTTGTGTGGGCTAGGTTTTGCAAACCCATAAAATCGCTTTGCAAGTAATGCAATTTACGTCGCGCTCATTAGAAGCGCGTGACCAAAAATCGCAGTTACTAAGTTCCAAAAACTTTCTAATTACCAAAATTCATTTTGAAACCCTCTCGATGTTACACTTCTATTTGATAGTTCACTACATCGTGTTACAAAGAATGCAAGAATTTTCAGAAAGTGGCAAGAAGAAGGTAAGCATGACTTGAGAAAGCTAATCTGTAGCATAAAATAGCGTTTCGCCAAATACAATGACTCCACCTCCCAATAATGGTGGATAGCTTCGTGGAAAATCCCCACTAATAATTGTGCGCAGATTCCGATTAAGGCTACCGCTTGCGCTTGTTCGATGGTGTGCCATGGCGCTCGTGCTTTAGCTGACCACTTGATGGGTTAATTGGTGCTGTTGGTTTTACTGCATTTATTCTGGCGATTTGCGCTCCAATTTTTTATTAGATGCACGCCTCATCGTTAACTTGGGATAAATCAACATTTGGCTAGTGAATCCTGTGTTTAGTTTTTACCAAGGCCATCCCCAACTCAAATGCCTAACCAGTTTTACGAAATATGCCAATACCAAGTGGTACATTGGTAACTGCTTGACACAAGCCCTCTTCTCTTACATAATCCACCAAGTATTGGTTTCCACCGAATAAGATCCCACTAACCATCCACTCCTAATGTACGCTCGACAAGTACATTTCCGCAAACTACATCTCTCTTAGGAATTACTAACTGGCTCAGCTGCGTGATTTAAAGAATTAAAACATCTCAGGCCTTGAAGGCCTGCCTTTATTGATGCACGAGGTAAGTTTGGTCTTTCATTCCATGCCTGAAATCACCATTTACTCACTACGTGGCCATCCTAAGCTCGACTATTGGAGATGAATGAGTTGAGGCCGGCACTGATTGGTAAGGAGTGAATGTGACCCGAGAAGTGGGTACGGATGTGTAAATCACGATACATTGAAGTCATGCCGTATGCATATTCTCCGTGGGTGTAGACAGTATTCATAGCATCACCCACATCAAAACACTTTAAAAAATTTAGCAAAATAATTGTCGCGTGTTGAACCTACTCACATCTTTTTAAACGCCACCAACAATGTCTTCAATGGCGAATAAGTATCATGCATGCAGTATATTTAGCAACTAAGCCTTTTTAATTTAAATAAATCTACCGTTATCGTTAACAGCGCTAGTGGCAAACATGCTTAACTTAAATTACTGCACACATCAGAGCACATTTTTTATGACTGAATAATGCGGGATTTGAAAATCTACATTCAGGATCGAAAGTATGAATGCATAGTCACTTGGTATCTATGACTGTTGATAGTTGGGAAAGCATGTCGGGCTATTCACTCACGTTAAGTGAGGCCACATTCGTAAAGACGTGAGCGGATTTTCCACTTACCTCTCACAACCATTTTTGATTAAACAAAATCATGTGACAATTGAATGAACAAATCCACAGTACGCACCGTTTCTTGGAATTGATTCAACACAACGAGGATTTCATCATGTGGGAGGAAGCGCAAGAGATACGGATTCGAGTGGCTTGGAGCAGAAAATCATGCACCCTAATGATGCTGAATATTCAAGTAAGCCTCCATTTCCTTTATTAAATGAGCTACATCATATCAGTCAAAGCATACAGACTCATTCTACGCGCTGGACGACAGAACACGCAAACACTAAGCTAAACAAAATTTACAAGATGATCAATCGCCAAGAGGAGAAAACCGATATTTCATCCCAATTTCAATCACAACGCATCCTAGAACGAGAACCTCGTGTTAGAGCCGGCACTCGTGCAGTGCATGAGCGAACAGTGCCTACAAATCGGACGAAAATTTTTAGGCCAGTCCAGTAGGCACATCGTAAGGAATGATTACGAACGTTGCTCAACACCACTATTTGGCGCTCGTAACTTTAACTGTTGAGAGAACCAAACATTGTGGACAAATCCAGCCACACTCATCGCTTTACCGAACCTATCAAAAATCATCTCATTTGTGCCAGATAGAGGCAGACTCACCAGCCAAGCAATTTGGGCTATCGATTGCGGAACAGATTTATTAATGAATAGAACAAATCCCCTCAAGTAAGGCACGATATAAGCTCTTAAAGCCACATTGACTAGCCATATGCTCCCGACACCCATCAGTTCAAAAAGATAAAACCAGAGCAAGTCTACCAACATATACCCGCTAAGAGTTCACATTTCGATGTTGCTCAGGTAGGCGCCGCACGCATGCAGCTCAGTTTCGGAGAAAGTCCTACAGCCTCTAGCGCAAAAAGTTAAATCCAACGAGGGGCATTGACAAAAAAGCCATGGCGCACTAAAGCAACCGGAAAAGCAAAACTGCATAAAACAGAAGTTATTCGGTGTACCAAAATAAGGAAGTGAGAGGGAAACTGGGTTAAACGAGACACTCAAATGGGTGGAAAGAGTATAAATTTCATGCCACTGGCTCGGAACGGTCCATATTCTTCATTAACCCCCTTCCGAGCCTAAAATAAAAGACCAAACAAAGGCTATAATTTCGGATTGAAAGGGTAAACGGCGACAATGTGAAAAAACAACTTCTAGCAAGTTTTATGATAATCGAAATCAAGGAAAATGCATTTGCCTCGGCCACCTAAGGGCAGCTTACTTTTTCGAAAGGTGTTGATAGTAAAATCCGGGAATAAGTGTCAGCTTGACATTCTGAGGAGAGATTTTAATCAGCTCACGAATTTTCCTATCGGATAAACCGAGTACGTTGACTCCATTAACCTCCACCAACTGACTATTAATTAGCACGCCATTCCTAGCAGCACTTGAATCCTTAACAATGGCTTCAACTGCTCCATTTTTGATCAGAATTCCCAAGCTTCCGAGACTGTCTTTTGCCAGAGTAACGACGCGCTCAAGAGGGCTGAAACAAGAAAGTGGTGAATTTCATCCAACAACAAAATAGTGTAACGAGTGAATGACAATTCTGAGAACTACATAAGCCAACAATCGTTAAACAACACCAAGGGGAGTCTCAATCCTTAAGGCAGTCTACCTACCGATCACGTATGACAATATCAACTGTTGGTCCACACGATCTCTTAATAAAATTCATTGCATCTTTTCCAGTCATGCCAGCAGTATATTGAGCATTAATCCTCAAGACTTGATCCCCGAAGCGAAGACCAGCCTGCGCGGCTGGAGAATCAGACTCAACGTAGGTTACGAACACCCCACGGTCTTGATCGCGCAACTGAAGACCCACAAGGCCTTCCTTGCCCTTTCGCACGGTTACTTCGCGAACCCCCTGTGACACGTGAACAGGATCCACATTTGTGATGGCGTTTGAATTCGGAAAAGCAACAGCAGTACCTGGGTGAATAGACACCGCGCCCGCGTTAGGTTGCCCACCATAACAGGCGTTACCATACTCATCGTATGTAACCAAGGAAAGGTCAAGACCCAAAAATTCGTTAGCCAAAGCAGCATAGTTTACACCACCACCAGCGGGGTTGGACGCCGCTGGAGTAGACATCAGAGCAGTAGCCAGTTTATTTTGAGCATCCACCTCCTTCCCAATCGTCAGAGCTTCAAGACTAGGATATAGAGACATCTAAAGGAAACATTTAGGGAAATAAGGCAATGTAGATATCATACTATATCTCACTTAAAAGAGTAGACAACTGCTATCATAAAATCGGACTCAGAGTGTACTCATAATGCGACAATAATTAATCGAGTTTGACAGAGTACCAAAAAGAAGCAACCCCGAAATTCCTCTCATGTTACCACAAATGGTTTAGAAAACCAAACAAATTCTGTAAAATCACATACTCTATGTAATTAAAACCCAAAAACCAGTAAACCAGCCTTCACAACTCGCAACGACAATGAGCAAAGCAACTACGGCTATGGCTATATAGACCAGCTCAATGTCAATTGTACTAAACAAATGCCAAACAGATATTAAATGGATCAAATAGCAAAATATATATGAGCAAAGCGCTCATATATCTTTTTTCTTAAGATCTTAAAAAAATTTAGATTTAAAGAGTCTCAAAAGATCTTATTTAAGGCAAAGAGTTTGAAAAGAAGTAAAAACAACATTATTAATGGACGAATTGGAGCATTCAGCAATAAAAGCGATATTTATGGCAGCTACTACTCTGTTAAATATTCAACCGACTTAATAAGTTTGAATGTGAACATGGAATTCGTGTGTATAACATAGAAATAGAATAGGAGTAAATCGAGACTTCCCACTAGTAGAAGAGGCATCAGTTTGAGGTGAACAAATGTATTCTAGGAGGATAAGAGGGTCAGGAACTTGGCTTGACCCGAAGGCCAGCCCACGCACACAAGGACAAGTCGAATGCCAAAGCAACCGCCAGACACCAGGTGGTCATACAGGCAGCATTACGCTGTCCTCTCTTAGTTTGAGTCACCAACCTGGCGCTCCCCTTGACACACGTTCCACGCCAGTCATCACACCATCTCCGGTGCTACAAGGAAACACCTAAGAGCGTGCCGCGCCGACCATCAACTACCATGAGACTGACGAATTCAACTTGATCCTTCAACTGGATCTGGAGTTACCTTCAGTCGCTCACCAGAACGTATACAGAGAGACGTCGTTTCCGGCACCTATACAGATGTGTAGCATGGGGAATTGTGATACGAAACTCTTCCAGATGGCTCAGGGCTCTGTATACCCTTGCATACAAGACTGCATTTGGTTCCGCATTTCTTGTTGAGCATCTGTTTTAGACCAGCTTTCCAACGTCTGGTCGTGGAAACGATTGGCTGCCACCAAATGTATGCGATCCTGGCTGTTGGTTTCTGGTGCGCGACTGAACGCAACTCCAGATCCAGTTGAAGGGTCAAGTTGAATTCGTCAGTCTCATGGTAGTTGATGGTCGGCGCGGCACGCTCTTAGGTGTTTCCTTGTAGCACCGGAGATGGTGTGATGACTGGCGTGGAACGTGTGTCAAGGGGAGCGCCAGGTTGGTGACTCAAACTAAGAGAGGACAGCGTAATGCTGCCTGTATGACCACCTGGTGTCTGGCGGTTGCTTTGGCATTCGACTTGTCCTTGTGTGCGTGGGCTGGCCTTCGGGTCAAGCCAAGTTCCTGACTCTCTTATTCTCCTAGAATACATTTGTTCACCTCAAACTGATGCCTCTTCTACTTTATTGTACGTATTATGGCGTCCCGAGGCCTCCTCTAGGGTGGAAGAAGGCATAAGTGAGGTTGAATATATGTATTTCGAAGACAATAGGGTGAATGGGGCCTGAGCGTGGCACGAAGGCCATCCCACGTGCCCGCCAAAAGCGTTACACGCATGTTTCCTCCTTGTCTTACTCGATGCTATTTCCTGCGGCAATATTTCATTACCATTCTCCGTTTTGCCATTTATCTCAAATGGTTAGGAACTATTCGAGGATTATAAATTAGAAGAAAGTAGATCAGTCATTTGTAGACCATATTGTCCTGTGTGGACTCCATTCGGAATGCTTAGACCTTTTGTAGATTCAGCATCCTGCAAAAAACTGGCACTATATATATATATATATATATATATATATATA